GAGACATCAGGAAAATGAAAGCGGCAGCTCACATCTTTTTGTTTGACCTCCCGCAAACGTTTTAAGGCCCGCTTCTTATATGATTTCTTTTGAGATGCAATTCTGCAATTAATTAGCTTGTGTTACGCTGGTATTATAGCTCCACATAATTTGTTCCCATTGAATGCAAGGTGAATTTATTGCTTTTTAGGTCAAAACTCAAATATTTCATTATTAATATGACTATCTACCGAGTACTTCAAATATCTATATAAAATTAACGCCCTTCAAAAAATTCAGTATATTTTCTCTGCGTTCAGAAACACTTAAACAACAACATTTCATACTTGTTGGATGACTTCACAATTGCACCAAGATTATGTTAATTTTTGTAGCGTTGAAAGCCAAACCAAGACTTCGATATATTAAACAGGTTCAATTATACAATATTTCCATTTTACTTCGTTGCAAATAATTACGCAAATGGTAAAAATTTCCATGCCCTGTTCATTAAATTGAAAATGTTTAATATCATCGCTAAACGAATGACAAAAGAAATAGGATTCTTGTCAAATTTTAATCTTTGTAGTTGTTGCAGTTGCTCGCATTTTAATTAAAAAAAATCCAATCACCTAAGTGATGAATGTATTGGTGGCAGGAATAAAAAATTAAAGTTTCCTCTCCTATATGAATATACTTTTCTCTTTAGATATTCTCATTCTATCCAGCAGCAACAGTCGTAATGGACGGCGATGATTTATTATTTTTTTAGTAACCGATAAAGTGAAATTTTGAAACATATTCTTTCGTTGATGACTTGAGTTTCCAAGTTTTGCTGTCTCACTTTCTAACTCCTTTCCTGTGACCCTCAAATTATAACCAGAAAAATTAAATTTTCCAGCAATGGAATTTTAATTGAATAATTTAATTAGAGGGCCGATATTCCCTTCATTCAAGTCTTACAATTATTGTGCCTTTGGTGGGGACACTTATGTTCTACTGTCGTTTTTTAATTTCTTTTAAAAAAATTCCCAAACCCCAATCTTAGTTCTACTAAAATCAAATTTCCATAATATTATTGTTCATTATTTTTGGAAAAATATAAATGAAAATTTTATCTTTATAACTTCAAGTTATATGTTTATTTAGATAAGCCTCATCTCAAGGAAATTTAATTGATTTTTCATTCTTAACAGATTGCAATAGTGCAATGTTGCTTTGTACACAAAGTACGTAATTTCTTATTCCCAAATAAAGACACGAAGATATTTCAGATCGAGAAGGCGTTAAAAGGATTAAGATATGGAGCCCAAGTTATCACGAGAGGGCAGCAGGGGGCCGTGGGTTCATCACTTCACCCTGAATACAAAAGCATTAAACAAAAACTAGTTAAGTTACCCAACGAATCAAAGCATGGCTCTCCCTTCTCCCTCACGCAGCAACTCCTTTTTTTATCGACCAGTTCCTCGAGTTGTTCTTTCACTGCAGTGGACGTGATGCCCAAACGTCCGACTGCTAAGGCCACAACCTTCACTTTCCCTCTCTTCTTCGCCGCTACCATCGACAGTAATCAGCGCCTTAGGTCCAGAACAAACTTTCTCGGTCGCTGCTTCTTCAGGTTGCGTGAGCTTGCATCCAGACTTACCGTCTAATTAAAATGTCCACATTAATTTCCATCTTTTATTTATTACTCACGAGGAATTTCTTATAGCAGAGCTATACATTTTCGAAATTTATTAGACGCAGTTGCGTCAATTATTATCTAGTAATTGTTTTTCAGGATGGTTTCTCTTGTCGATCACTTGTCTTCAATGAAATGTTTTTTTTTTATGTTTAGAACACGCGCATTTCTCTTCATAAATAAAAACATTTTCAGCATCGCAATTGGAATCAGATAAATAGCTAAATTTTCCTTCTTTACTATTAGTTGAGTAAATACTCATTTCAATGTACCTCAGAAATTTTAAATTATTCTTTAACGACTGCATGTCGTTCACGCAAGTTGGTTGAAGAAGATTCAATACCTAAACCTGTTGAAAGTTGCTCAAACGCTAAAGGCAATCTTAAACATTTTCAAGACGGTATGCAACTCATATACTTTGATGGAATTCTTGCATCTTCTTATCTGAAGAGGTCAAAAGTTTTGCGATTATGTACAAGGGCATCGTTATTTGCTAGACAAGCAGCATGAATCAGATCAAGTTTTGTCCACTCATTGAAATAAAATAACATAAAAATTGCTATGAAATAACATAATTGCTCATTGCTATGAAATTACTGGATATTGTTATGCTTGTATAGCTCATGCAAACAAATATACGACAATGTATTATCTGGAACAAGATTGTATGTTTGAGAGAGTTTACGTGCCATAAAATCATTTATGAATCTTCATACAAAAAAATTAATAAAAATAACTCGTCGCCTATTCTCTCCTTTGCCATATTCGGCTTGTTGCACCAATATGATTCCAAACTCAATATTCCTGGTTCAGTCTACGCAATGTGTGTCTATAACTCTAGTTATTGCTCTATCTCTGGTTCAGTCCCCGCGTTCTACGTCTATTAAACTAGCGATTGCTCTATCTCTGGTTCAATCGGTGTACGTCTATTAAACTAGTGATTGCTCTATCCCCGTTTCAGTGTACGCGATGTATGTCTATTAAACTAATGATTGCTCTATCTCTGGTTCATTTTACGTGGTGTACATATGTTACACTAGTGATTGCTCTATTTTTGGTTCGAGCTACGCGATGTAAGTCTATAAAACTAGTGATTTTTTTTATCCCCGGTACAGTATGCGCGATGTACGACTATCACGCTCCGGAGAGCACCAAAAGCCATTTGTAACTCCGGCCTGAGAGCCGCTGCAAGATTACATAAAGATGAGGCAAAAACCTTGCAAAATGATCTCCCGCAGAGCCTTGACGGATGTTAGAGGCAAGTGCAGCGGCTTCCCTGACGTAATGCTGTCTAACAAATTGTTCACTGAAGCTTGCATCAGTCGTGCAGTGCGTCTTTCTCTTATTAGTGGCAGCCGGCAAGCGAAGAGATGCTTGTGTTGACGAACTTATGTTATGGACATTCACTCATGTTGCTTTCAAGCCTCTAACTTCCATACAAATATTCACATCCGTTCAAGGTATTTTCCCGACCTGCGTTCAAATGAGACTAATATATAAGATTCCCCATAAGATATTCTTATTCAATTCAATGATTTCCGAATGAAGAATACTCATACCCCCATCCGTCCATGTTATGAACCAAAGTGATAATCCATTAAATTCACGCTTAAATCTTACGTTGGACATTGCATCTGCTTATTAGAAAGTAAAAGGATTTTAATCTCTTCGAAAACATTTGAAGTGATGAGTTGCTGTCAATTTCATGAGGCTAATCTGAGTCGTGATGCATTTTACGCTATACAAGCGTGAAGAGCCGCTGAGTGCGCATCGTCAACTACAACCTATAACTAGCTACAGGGAAGCTCACGTCGGTTCCACTGTATATGTACAAATGAAATACCACAGAAGCATTTTTTCTGTTAACGAAACTCACGATTCATAAATGCACTCAATGTATGTTCACGTTGCCTCGATTTATTTTTCATGTTTAGGAAGTTTGGTCATTTCCCAAATAATATTTTGGTCTATTTGGACTAAACTTCATAGAACATTTATTTAAATTTAAAAAGCATGTTAATGCAGCATTACATTTTTCAAAATCATTCATTCTCATCAAAGTATGAAATCCGTGCCTTACATGTAACAAAATTTTATCATTATTCTTTGAATTAGTTAACAATTTTAGAGCTCCCTGAAAGTTTCTCGCTGTTATTCCAGCCAGTTTATTTTAAGGACGTTTAAGGCGTCATGGCTTGTGTAATTATTGCGAATTCCTTCACACAGTCCCGTCTTATGTTGTGTCATCCTCGCCGTAATGACCACAGGCAGCTTGTGTGCGACGATGATGGACGCGCAGAGGAGCTGTCACGGTCAGAACCGAAACCTCTTTAACGGCCTTCCTCGACAAAATAATAATAATAATATTAATAATAATAATAATAATAATAATAATAATATTAATAATAATAACAATATTAATAATAATAATATTAATAATAATAGTAATAGTAATAATAATAATAATAATAGCGGTTTCAGCGTTTAGTAGGCCGTAGGCCTGTCACCGATTCTTAACATCGCAGAACTTTCACAGCTTGTTGCGTTCATGACGCCACCAAGTAAATTAGAACTCGACGACAAAACTATACTGATCTATACGCGAGTTATTTGATACCTTCTCTTCAAAATTCTCGAGCGGTTCAAAATGTTTCTTACACGATGGAGATTTCGAAATCGTTTTGATTAATTTAAAAATATATCCTGAGGAAAATTGCTTTAGCAATTAGATCAATATAATATATTTTGAGATTATAGTGCGCCCTGCCAATAAGTCATACGGAGTAACGAAATTTTATACGCCAGCAGTAAGGTCACTGTAGCTTTAAATTGTTGAAGCACACTTAAGCTAGTAACATTATTGTGCGAAAAAATCGTGTGAATTGCGAAAAAAGTATCAACCAACGCTGCTATATCCATAAAAATTAGCTGTTCATTATTAGTACTATAAATTCATTCAGAAATAACATGAAATCAGACATAATGTGATCCAGTCTTGCGCCGTTGCATCATAACCATTGTTTCAAATGTCACTATTCGCTATCTTTGTACTTCAGTATTATTTTGCATTATTAACCTAAGTATAATAAGGTGTTTTTTGTAGTTTGGCTGAGTTTTTTCACGCACGATATCAGTATAGGTGTTGGTATTTTCTTATAACGGTGTCGGCACGGTTTTTCTTTAATGCAGATTACTCATATATAAAAGAGTTATTGATATCTGACAACAAATTGCATTCATGGTGGAGCGAATATTGGTACCTTTCAACTACTGCAAACATTCGGGATATATTCTAATTTTCCTGTGGAGTTCAACACTTAGGCATGATGGAAAAATTGCGTCGCATTGGGTTGAATTTTATTCGGATTGCATTGCTGGCAAACTTGAATAGAATTAACGATGCAAATTCTGTGCAATGCAACAACGTGTCAGTGGGAAGGCTTTAAAAAAAAGCAGTTCAAATTTCAGTGAGCGAACTAAGACGGCTTAATGAATTGCCATATACACTTTGAGGAGAAGGGCATGGATATTGTAAAAAATAAATCAAACAGTATTCGCATTAAATTTATTTTGCATAATCTTTTAAAGATTTATGAAAATTTTTGCTTGACCCATGTCCATGTTAACGGCTGATAGTGAAAAATTAGAAGTCAGTATCTAGCCGGTATCTGCAGTATTACAGTCTGAGTCTTCATGGGAAATCTCCAAGCGAGACGGCGTCGGGTGAAACGGCTTTATTCGTGTGGTGAGTCAGGGCTCCGGCTGAAAAAACAGATAACACGTCGTTAAATGCCACGAATTCTGCTGAAATAAAAAAAAACAGTCGCTTGATACCCTGAGTTCTGCTGGAAGAAATAACACTCGTTATATCTCATTAGTTCTCCTGAAAAATAACACGTCGTTGTACATTATATCTTTAGTTCAGCTAAAAAATAAAACTTCGATATATTCGTGAGTTAGGCTGGAAAAAGTTAGGGCGGTTGTAGAATCATAGAACCCCGGCTGAGAGAGCTGGATCTAATGATAATAACTGTCATCACCAGGAGTTCGAGTTGCAATTATTGTTGAAGGGAATCCCTCGCACTGCTATCGGAAATTCTTGAAAGCTAAACCCATCACTAAGAGATATATAATAACATGAATAGTATGTGTAATAATAAGTTGTCTAGGGCAGTATTTATCTACCTTAAGATTAATTAATTTGAAATAATGAAAGCTGTATAAATTATGGTATAAAAATCCAGCCACTTGGAAAATGGACTTCATTTTTTTACTCACTTATGGCAAGGTCGCCTTTAGCCACTTCGAGGTAGAAGACATCGTTGTCCAGGTCGAATGTAAGTCCCTCGATTTCCAGACTGGCCTCGCGCGTAAATGAGCAGTAAAGCTCGTCGTCAACATGCGAGGCGGTGACGTTGGACAGTCCGAGCATCGGCTGTTGAACAGGTCAGAATTAATGAGCCATCATGCAAATCTCCGTTTCAATTTTCAAATTGATTGTCATCATGCAAATGTCCGTTGAAAATTTCAAATTGATTATAAAACATGGACACAAAAATACTCTACAATATTCTACCTACTTCCCGACGTAACCCCTTGAATTTGACAAACAAAAATTGAAATAATGCAACAACGATAAGATTGTGAGTATGTATAATGTCTCTTTCCTATCTATATATTTTATGAATATTTCCGAGTGAAAAGCGTTGAAGCGTTCAGAACGTTTAAATAAGTAATCTAATAATGGGTAATAATAATAATTTAATTAATCACATCAGAAAGAACGTGGTTGGCGTGCCCCTTGTCATTGAAGGCCTGGACGACATCCACGTGCACTCCTCTGTAGTTCCTGCACGCAGTTACGCTCGTGTATTCCTGCGATTACACAAAGAATTAATAAAATTAGTACTTAAAACATAAGTCTTTTAGTAATATAAAATTAATGCATACAATATAGCATATTATTCGTGAAATTAGTTCATTAAGCATCGCTATTATTATTGAAATTAGTGCATATGAGCCAAAAGAAAATTGATACATAAAACTAAGTCTGCTGTTTAATAAAAGTCAATATGGTGCATGAGTTGGTCTGCTTATGGGAAATAGTAAAATCTATGAACAATTCGAATTCATAGGGAAAAGTTTTTGGTTAAATTTAACAAAAACTTAAATTTATGATTTTTAGGTGTCGCTGCTTATGAGGCTATAATTCTTGATACCAAAAGAATAACTGGAATCCAGTGGGGCAAAATATTATTAGAGGCTTAAACGGCTACATGTATCCAGTTAAAATATGATTTACTGGCATGCAAGAAAATTTACCATAAAAAAAAAACATTTTCACGCCAAAATTATCGAAAGAGAGAGAAGAATCCCTCCCCGCTCTCTGCCTTAATTTAGAATCAAAATTCGCAGCCTCACTTTGCAGTTATTTCTAAGAGCCATCACGCAGAACATACGATTTAGCAAAGATGTAATACTTTCCTTTAAATACAATTCTACAATTCACGTGAATCTGAAGTCGGAGTAGAGAAATAAATTCCGCCTAATTTCTGAATTATATGGATTTCGATATAGGTTTTTATAATGTTCAAACCAAGTTAACGTCGAATGACATACCACGCTACACAGTATTCAGTTATCCTCTAAACATACAGTCTCCCATGATGATGTCAAATGACATATTACTCTAGAATTTAGATAATTATAATAATGCCATAAGCATAAAGCCTCCTATGTTGGTATCGAATGACGTAACACTAAATTCAGGAAATAATAAATTTCAAAGATTGCACAAAATAATGCAGCAAATCACATGCAGTCACAATATGTTTAGAGGAAATTCACCGAGCACGGCAGTCTTCCATTTGTCATGCGCGCCACGTCAGCAGATACTTAACAGATACGTAGATTAGTAGACGTAGGTTGTCTTTTCGTCCATTACTTCGTTGAAACTCGCGGGAGGTGACACACCCTCTGCTGCCAGGGGCCATACTTTCAAAATTTGCTAAGTAAACGTACTTAGTACGAAACTAAGTACTTACACTCTATTTTCTTGCCTGTGGTTGGTGGATTTTGCTTGAAAGGCCGTCAATGATTGCTGATGAACTTACGATCTCTTAACTTTTTTTGAAAGTATAGGCCCTGGTCTCCACTCTCTGGTAAGTTAAAGTTACGCACAGTTTTAAAGTCAACCTTCAATCTAAATTCACGTCTATAGGCTAGATTAGCGCTGATGCGTGATAGTATTCTTGACAAATCAACAATTTATTCGCCTTGGCTCCACACTAGATACTTGCCATTTGAATGTCAATAACTATAGAACAGAGCTTTTTTAACCCTCGCGCTTCGTGCTGTAGATAGACCTCCTGACTGGCTACCAAGGAGGGCTAATTAACCATGAGTAACACGTACTGGCTTTTCATCTTCCCAACCTGGTGCACTAAGCTCTTAACTCAGTCGCACCACATACCGGCATCGCGTTAAAACCTCGCAACCTGGTGGAATCTTGCATCCTGGTGGAACCTTGCAACCTTGTGCAACCTTGCAACCTTAACCTGGTGGAACCTTGCAACCGTGTGGAACCTTGCAACCCGGTGGAACCTTGCACCCGGCGACCTCACTACCCACGCTGCTTCAGTACACCATGACCCGGCTTCATTTTAATTTTTCTCCCTCGATTTCTATTGTTACTTAAATGCCAAGTAAGTTACGCGTGTTTCGATTTGCATCTCGTGACAAGGCCCGGTTGCGTTAGTGCGTCCACTGTAGATTCAATAGCTGGGCTTACTCTGGACCGTAATTGGGATTTTCCAGTTTCTCTGGATTACGGTTGGAGCAGTAATGCTGAATTCCTTTACGCCATGTCATCGTCTAGCAATCTTGCAAGAAATGCCCTAAGATTCGACGTAGTCTCATCACGTTGGTGTCCGGAGCCTCGCTAGGAAGAATGCCTTTAGATCCAATGTGGTCTCGCCGCATTTGCCTCTATGAGCATCGCTAGAACAGCCATTAGATATAATTTTTTTCGTATCACATTTACATCTATGAGCCTCGCTAGAATTGCTTTTAGATCCGATATAGTCTCATAACGTTTGCTTCTATGAACCTCGTTTGTAATGCCCTTGTAGATCAAACGTAATTTTACCATCTTGGCGTCTGAGCGACTTTCTCAAGAAACGCCCTTAGACGCGACATATTCTCCCCTTCTTGGCGTCATAAGAACCTTGCTAGAAATGTCTTCAGACCGAACATAGGGTAACAATGTTAGCGTCTAGGTAATTCTCTTGAAATTGCCCCAGATCCAACATTGACTCACCATTTTCGTGTCGAAGGAGAGACCGCCTGCGATGTACACGTCGTTTACGCCGGCAGCGACGACGCCGAAGATCTCCATGGCGTACCCAGTGTCGGCTTTCGCGTATGTGATCACAGCCAGACAACTACAGACAATTATAATAAGTAAAACGAGCTATATGGTAATTTTATTTCAGTTATATTCAATATTTTACGAATCTATTTTCATTCTAATATTTTGATCAAACGCACACTCATGCTCCTGCTACTCTTGAAAATAGTTTACAAAGCCTTAGGCCGGTTTGTCTCCAATAAAAAGCTGGGTCATTCGTGATATAAATCAATCTTCTTTCTCTGGGGTGGGAGGTTCATTTTAAATTTTAAAAGGAATTCTTTATATTATGGTGCTTGATACATGGTCTAGACTCTAGAACCTTCGCCGCAAGATTTTGATGCTGAAATTTGCTGAAATTTAATTTGGCTTCGACTTGTTGCGTTAGGCAGACATAGTTAAAACCAGGAAGGCATTTAGCAGAGTGATTTAAAATGCGCCAATTATTTTACGGTAACTTGTTTTCCAAAGTAAATTATTCAGTTTAATACAGTGCAATTCCTGACATACTCGCGAGTTTCAAGGCAGCGAGACGGAGTACCGAAGCAGCCCTTGGTCACTCCACAGCCATCATAGGACGCGCGCAGGTCTTTCTGGGGAACAAAATCCAGCTAAATGATAATTTATTTATATATCTGTATTTTAATGCGACTTAATTTATCCGGAAGATAAATTAAGTCGCATGATTCTCAGAGGAGGAGTATTTTACAAAACAAACTGTAAACAATGTTGACGAGATGAAATTCATGACATGTAGTAGCAAGTTTTATTCTCCCTTGCATTGTTAGCGCCACCTTCAAAATATGGACATTAGAAATGTGTGAAATTTGTTACCTTTGCTGGGCTAGCCTCAGCTGTCGACGCTGCGAGAGCCACCATCACTACTGCCAACGCAGCCATTCCTGAACAATGTGTAATATAATGAGATTACAAACGACCCTTAATTTCTGTTGCTCATTTGGAAATTTCGGATTAAACTTATGCTTTGAATAAGTCAAGATATTCGAGAGGCGTGAGCCGAAGTATCAATCTCATAGGTAAATACTGAATTCGCTCGAAATATTCAAGTCGCAAATCGTTCAGGCACGGATTTCTACAAGTTCATTACATTAAGTCTGCGAAATTCAGGGAACTGAAAAATATGTAAACGACTTTTATTGTTATCTTTGATACCAAATTTAACAACTATGGTGCAGGGTACTTTGTATATGTAATCCCTATATATATATAATTATGAAATATATCAAGTTCATTCGTAACTCATTCAAGGGCTCATTCATTCCATCACTCAATGCGCCTTTTAACTTGATAATGAATGATAGAAACATTCGAAACGTCGTTGAAGAAATAAAAATGTACTTCGCTAATCTGATTTTCGATTTACCAGTGCAAACGAAAAATCTTGTTCGATCTATTGAAAAAACTAATAAGAAAATTGTCAATAAAATGAATTCTCTGGTCTTCAATGAAACCTGCTGAAAAGTTATTCTATGAGTGTACCAACTTTCCGATGAATAATTAATTTTAAATAACTCTCACCGGTAAAGTTGATGAAACTCTTCATTACTGTTTGTATATTGTCTTGATCTTCTTCGTAGTCTTGCCGCCGACTATTGCAGTCATAGGTTCTGCCGGCCGTCTTATACGCGATGCAGACCTCAAGCGATGTGGGAATTCGTCACCTGGTGAGACTGGCAAAAATTCTCGGTCTGGCCTTCAATGTAGCATTAATATCCAACGTATCGACATGACGCTGAAATTTTTAAGGTTGGTTGATTGGAATAAAGGTCACAAAAGATTACAAATAAAAGTAATTTAGATGTCAATTTCTTAATCTCACTGGCGCCACAAAAATAATTAGCGTATTTACATTCCTTTAATTACTGAATAATTTTATTAATAATCATAATGAATAATTAGAAAAATCGTCCAAGTAGGCACAAATTTCGCTCAATACGTCTCAGAAAATTAAATTGCTTGGATCGAGAAAGTCTTGTGGGCTTGTTGCATGACAGAAGCTCAGACAAGCCAGATTACATGCATCGGTATAAAAAAGTTAATTTTAATGTGGCCCTTGATTTTCCAGTGGTTTGAGCAGTGACTTCTCTAGATGTATAAGCAGTAATTTTCTTCGACAATATTGACGGGATTGTGACCCAACACTTGTGAAAGACTTCCTGCACAGGTTCAAATTACTGAATTATTTCGGACATACTGAGAAAATACATAAGTATCAAGCATAATAATATTGTTTTTTTGGTACCTGATGTTAATAGTTTAGAGCGGGGCGGTCAAATTAAATTGATTCAAGACAGAAACGCAGTAACAATATCTAAAAATTCCTAGTATTCGTCACTGAAACAAGCTTTTAATAGAACGATAACGTACTGTCATTATATCTTAAATTATCGGCATCTTTAAATAGTGATAAGATTATTCCAATCGCTCTTCTAGAAGGATGACATAATTGAACGCAACATTGTAGATTGCCAGAAAAAATTAGTTACATAACGTGGGACTCGAGCCTATAGTTACAGCTGATAAAACACAAACCGTACGTGATGTCTGAGGGTCAATAGCAGCTTAATCAGCACAGCCTTCACGTTATCAGTCTCCGAAAATGCCCTGCCACTGTCCAACTTTGAATTATAGTCATAAAATATATAAGTAATCATGCTTCAGATGCGTGCCATCTTCTGACTTGATGAAGATTTCCCCACGCAAGTGGATGCTAATTAATATAGGCTTTAATTTTTTCAGGAAATATTAAGATATGTTCAAGAGATTTTAGACATACATGTTAGAATAATTTTGCTGGCGTAATACTATTAATCCAAAAGAACATGCCCTTTTTTATTTTTCTACGTGAAAGACAGTGAAGGAGCATTTTTGATAGTATTTATAAGTTGCTTGAAGCGTTAAAACTTCTACTCTAGCTGTGATGACTGTTAGCTTCTCACAGAGTAGCTGACGATCACAGTTGAGCGTAAAAAGTTCTGTATGTAAAGAATTAACGAAATCAGTTGATTCGCCTACGATTAACTTCTATTCCGAATACTCATGAGGTTATAGTTATTTCTTGCACACGACAGTAAACCTATAGCTGCCAAGTTTTCCTACACCGATTTTCTGTATATTTCTGACTCTAAAATCCTTATAAATTTAAATGAGCGAAAACTCGGTTCAATTTCAACATGGTTTTGCTTCAAGTGAATTCTTAACAAACCATCAAATTACTAAATTTCCAGCGTTTTAGTTCAGGCTGAACTAACTAAATATAATATATATATAATATTTTGAAAAATAATATGGTGTAAGTCAACATTGTTTCGACTTTTCGTCTTAGTTGTATTTATTTTTTTTAGGTAGGGTTGTTACTGCCTTTGTTGAATATCATTTTTAGTCGCCATGCTAGTTATTCTTATATCAGTTTTACTAAAGGTTAGTTTTTTATCAGGTGGTTTTCAATTTAGTCACTTTCTGTTCCCTTTTGTCTTATCCCATCGTCATTATATGTTATTGTCTTTCGATTGTAATATCGCTAATGTCGCCTGTTAAGCTTTTTAGCTTATATATGGGCATTCGCATGGAAGCATTTTGTATTTTTTTCGCCAAATTTTTGCTATTTTCTTTTTATGAATTTTTTTGTATGCTCCTGCGTGAATAAAGAATAAAGAAAGAAGAATGAAGAATGACGGTATTGATAAATGTGATACATGTATGGTTTAGTATGATTCTGATTCTGGGTGTTATGTTACAGCGGCATTACTGTTGCTACTTTTCCATGTAGATAATAATACATTAATAACTCAAAACGCAAAGCTCTTTCACTGAGAGTAGCATCTTGGTGCATAAGAAAATTATTACTGGTCCAACTTATAACTATTATTTCTTCATGAGAAATAATCATTATTATATTATCTATTATTATTATTATTTTATCCGTTGTTCCTGTTAATTACCCCTATGACGGATAGAGCCGCTAGGGCGAAGAAATATATTTTTCAGTAAATATAAACTTTTCAAAACAGTGTTCGACAGTTCAATTGAAATTGAATTTTGAGTATTGCTCGATTGCCTAGCCGGGGCACAGTCACAACCGCAAAATAAGAAAAAACTAAGCAAAGATTTGAGGAACTGAATTAAAATCTATGCAGCTTCTTGACATATATCTTTTGATCCCGAAAGTGGGCAATACTTTGCAATGCAAACGAAATGCATTGCATTAGATGCAACAGACTCTTATGTGACAATAAATTTAAAATTTCAGAACATTTGGACCTCTGTAAAATTAGTTAAATATTCACAAATACCATGATTACATCAAGATACCCACTTATAAAAATTTGGTCACTGTAACAATAGATGAAATATTATGAGACCTTGAATAATAAATATTACAAATGTTCAACCTTGATACCCTCAATTTAGGAAATCTCCCAGCAAGACCGCGCCCGCCAATTCTACTTCGTCCGTATGATGGGTGAGAGCTCCAGGAATAACTGTGAAATTTATTCGGGTTCAATAAGAATTCTATTAATCATCTTAATTCAGCTGCGTGGAGATATTACCACTGTAATAAATAACATCTCCGCAATCAGGTAACACCAAATTTCTTTATAGTGAATTCATTATTATATATTATTGAATTCATATTATTGTGAATTCAACACAAAAATATTAGTACTTCAGTTCGCATGCAAGTTATTGATTTGCGATGTATGTTACTGGTCAATATTTTCGGCAGATGGGAAAGTTAACGTTTTTGTGTCAAGATTAAACAGTGACACAGCGAGTCACTTCTTTAGAGGTCACCACAAGCAACTTCGAGAAGGAAGACATCGTTGTTCAGGTGGAATAGAAATTAAACAGTGACACAGCGAGTCACTGCTTTAGAGGTCGTCCCAAGCAAATTCGTGATGGAAGACATCGTTGTTCAGGTCGAGTATATAGAAAACCATCAATTTCCAGACTCGCCTCGCGCGTAAATGAGCAGTATAAAGCTCGCCGTCAACCTGCGTGAGCCGGTGACGTCGGACAACCCGAGCAGCGGCTGTCGAGGTGTAGGTAAGAAAACAAAAAAATACAACGAATCAATTCTATCGGTCCACATAATTCAGTATGATCATGATTCTGTAAGTTGTGTAGAATTAGAAAAGAAACATGAAAAACGTAGCTATAAAGAAACAATAATGCAGCTGGAATAGTCAAACAGGGTAAAAACATGGAGCTGAATCTTCCAAAATGGTAGGCATTTATAAACGATAAAAGAAAGGACTGTGCCAAAAATACAAGTAAACAGGTGCACACTAGTATTTTGAAAATCGTTCTTGAAGAACACAACGGATATAAAGGTGGAATTTTAAATAATTTAGCTTACATAGCAGTATACGATATGCATAATGCAATTGAATGTAAGAAACTTTCAAAATTTGAAGGTGTGTTCGTCGAAATGTAAAAACCTTTCACATCAATATGGGCTGTGAGGGATAAGTCATTTATGTCAGTAAAAGATTTTTACCTCTGACTGGTGTGCCTCAGACGCTAACTCGGCATGAGCGAGCAACAGCCGTGACAATGCAGTTCATCCTTGAAATGGAAGTGTTGCTATGAGTAATTTTTAATTGCACATCATTTTTGTGAAGATTATACGCATTTTGCTAACTGGTGTTTGGACTCCGTTGTGCTTACCTGCAAGCCCCTGGCTTATAGATTTAATATTGTCGAAAGAGATGCATTACTTAGATAAATTTAAATTGGTACAAGAGCCAGTTGCAATACTATTGTTAATAACATAACATCATCATTCTTGTTAATTAAAAACTTTTTTGAATTTCTCGGAGGTCTTTTTCTGACGTTTGAATTTTATATAGAAAATATCGATGGAACAGTTGGTGGCGAAATTAACATTAATTGTGGCCTTTATGTGCAATAACTTGAGCTTCTTTTATATGAGCGCACCAGTTTTCTCAAAAATTAATAATTTTAAAATCATCCGCCACCATTACTCTAGGTGTATTTCCCTGCCAAACACAATTCATCCTGGTATCTTCACTACCGCTTATAGTCGTCATGGGCTCTGTTGCGTGATGCAAGGGTCAAGTGATGAGGGAATATAGTCTCCTGATAAGATATATTTAATTAGTTCGCCAGCCGATTATGCATTATCAACCAACGCACGGCAACATAGGCTGTTGTCGATAAGTGAATTTAAGTTGCTTTTACTCATCATAAACTGCATCTTGTAGGGTTTTTTTTATTTTTAAGAAAGCCATTATGACATAATTAAGTAAGTAATGTTTTTAAGATATTAATTTGTTGTAGCACTAAAAGGAACAGCTATCTAATAATACCAGATGTGTAGCGCGCTCCTTATTCCCATAGCCTCGGCTCATTGCCACGTCTTGGTTCGCATGCACAGCTGTACATGTTCCTTCCCTACCTTTTACCACGCAGGGAAAATGTTGAGTAGATATATTTTCTGCTGCTAATTAAGTCGTTTGCTATATTTAGTTGCAAAACTGTAATTTTTATAAATATTCTTTTTCTTCATCATTCATTCCTACAAGAATTACTAAATTGATAAATGGACTTGTGTTGATACCTATAACTTCATGCATTGATT